TGCAGATTCTGCCTACGCCTGATAAACAACCGACGGATGCAAATTGGTCTTCTGTTCGCCTGTCGGTTCAACTACGCGTCGAAGGAAGTAATGAAAACTGGAAGCTAATCAGTGATGCGGTCCAAACGTGGATTCTGACATACGACGAAAGCACAAGCAATGGATCTCCTCGACCTCTGCCGCTTTACTGGATGCTTGCAAGCCTGCTCCCCGGGACGCGAAATATAATACAACGTCCACAGCCCTTAGACGTCAGCTCTTCAAGAGCCTGAGAAATGACCGCGAGAACTGTTGGAAGGCAGTGATAATAGCATCGATGTTTTTTTGGTGTCAGACCATCTGATCTGCCGCTTAGTGAAAACTCGGATAAGTTTCACGCTTTTCTTGATGGTTTGAGCTGCAGTGCAACTTTGTTTGGCATGCTTTTTGCACCTCCAACGTGTAAAATGAGTGTAAATTGAGTTCAGCTCCCAACTGGACGGTAACTGGGGAAGCAATAGAAAAGGAAGGAAAATCATACTGTTTTGATAGCTGCATGTCATCTGGCTTTTGAATCTCTGATGCAGTTTCTACTTGATACCGAAGATTCGATAGACGTTTGTTAAATTCATGACGTCCGATTGTCCGTGAGGGGTCGGATGTATGCTGAAGCAGTTCAGCCAGTGCTGCTGGCATTACTTTTAATATTGCAATCTTCCCTCTACTTCTTCACCTAAGTGGTTGATTAAAAAGCAGCCGCAACCGCTGCACAAAAGTGCTTGCTTCATGGTCGTATATCAGCCGAATGCGTCCGCCACCGTCGTCGCGAGCGATCGGTTTAAGTAAATTACTAGTACTATTGACTATATTAACCAGCAGAATGTACTTGACACCCAAACGCGATCGGTACGCTACATTTCTCAGTCCATTTATTTTCTATTATTTTTCTGTTACCTTTTTGTTTGGCGTGCAACTACACTGATAGCTACTCAACTAGCGCTTAGGATATACATCTCAGGCCTTATGTGTCGAGCTTGTTAATTTTTATAGTTACGCTTAGATGCTTGAGTTACTACATACATTGCTTTCAAGGCAGATTCTGTCTACTGTGACACATGTTCATCGTTGGTAGGTTTATCAGTCATCAAAATATCACCTTTTAGACATCTGTGGGCGGAGACTGGTTCTGTTCGTGATCAATGGAATCCACCTAGTTTATGCCACTGGTTCTAATTATTTACTTTTGCCGCCGATGTCTCCGCCTGACCTCGCTTGACCACACGAATATCCATACCCATAACCACTCATCCACATACCCACACTCGGTATGTCAGTCTGATTCGCGAACTGCCTTCTAACTTTATCAGGTTGAAATCGCTCCTGAAACAGTAAGTGGTGGTTACTCACCGGTTTCGTATGCAGACTGTTTTCATACTCATTGCAAACATATTGTCTCATCTACTGCTACCCAGTCTGCACTGATCCAGCTCCTGTTTGCCATTCCCCTCTCCTCATCATCCGACTCAATCGATTCACATTTGCTCGTCCGTTCGCTCGCTCTTTGTGATTTCGCCGCTCGTATCTCATATTTCGCCTCATGCCATTCCCTGCTCACTGCGTAATTAAATGCAACATCTCATCGCGTGGATTATTGGTTTAGTTTCTGTTCGATTGATCGCCTCACTAATGACTCACACTCACCGCACGTCGTCCCATTCCTCATCCTCCCTCCCTTGGACATCCAGTCAATCAGTTAGTCGGTGCTGGGTACAGTTTATTTTTTTTTGCTTCACACTGCCACGACTTTACTATGCATTCCGTTTGTTGCCCTTCCTTCCTCGTTTTACTCAATTACACGACAGCTGAACCATAGCAAGCAATTTAGTTGGGGCAAGAGAACTAATTGGTCTACCATTTACCAGGATTGCGAATTTTCCCGAACTGGATCACTCCGTCCCTTGAACGATTACTCAGAGATAACCTTTTATGTTATACTCATTGATTATTGCCATCTTTGTTTTTATCACAGTTTTCGACTCAATTTAGTCGAGATGAATGAACTACGCTTTTTATTGTGTCTGTCCCAACCCTACTCCGAACAGTCTGTTCGCCGCGGGAAAAACGAAACGTTTAATATGCGACATTGATTATCACATCTCTATTTCAAATCGTATTGAAATCACTCATCATTTTTCCTCTATTCGCTATCTCGTATGTTCTGAATTTTCAATTGTAGCATTGATGTATTGAACTGTAGTGTGTGTGTGTGCTCGATCACTAGCAGCACAGTTTTTCGTGTTAGTCTGCTTTGCTATCCCTTAACACAACCTATCTCCCCAGGTTTCGGAATGCGGTTTTCGTTTTGACCATACTAGGCTGCTCGTGCTCCCATGTGTTCAACTCAACCGTCGAATAGGGAGAAATCTCTAGTCATCTGACTGGTGGTTGCTTCCGTCAGACGTATGAGTGTATGGCTAATTTGTATCTGCGCTCATCAGGTTCTTATTGTTAAACGTATTCGTATTATTGTATCTGGTATGGAACTCATACGCATGTTGTGTAACTTAGAATTTGTGGAGTGTTGTCAAATAAATTATCAGTTCGTAAATTATCTGAGGGTTACTACTCATGTCATCTCTTGTTCGGCACAGCTCGGTTGATGTGCTTTTCTCTGTTTCTTTGTCGATCCTCCCTGTTAATGTTCCTTTCCAATGGCATAGGCGTGTGGGTTGTCACTGATTTTGAAGTCAATTAGCACACCGCGTACTAAACTGCCTACTCACTGGACCCTGAAGATTATTGAGCCGTGGTACCAGAGATTGTTCTGCTTTACAATCATAAATCCCGTTGGATACCGATATCGTCTAGTGCCCAACCAACGCGAGGATTATAATGTTGATGAAATTGTTGAGTGCAGTAATCATGGCTACTCTGACACCGTGTCATTGCATCGATCACTTCATCTGTAACAAATCTTTCTTATTTAACCGAGCTACTGTTAGGACTTTGTGTGGGCGTGCGTGTGTATGCATGCATTTATGTACGCACGTGTGTATGTGCGTTTGTGGGCGTAAAGCGCGTGGAGGGTGGGGGTAAGGTCTGTCCGAATTCTGTAATTATTGTTGCAACACTCGGCTTACCATATACATACATGTTTCTGAATTGACCTTTACATGTGCACGCTTCTATTCGCGCTTATGTTTTATCTATACTGGTCATTTAGCTGACCGCACTTCTCACTCTCTCTCTCTGTATGAATAACGTGTCCTGAAACCCTCGGCGATTTCACTCGGCTTGTCTACATTTTGGTATTATGCCTGATGATAAACGGTGATTTCATACCGACTGTTGGGACCCAGCGGGTGAGATTGACTACGGTCATTGACAGTGGAGGATTGGCATCAGTCGGATGACCTGTGAAAACTAATCTATTTAATACCTTTCATTTCATATCCAGTCAGCCTAGTCTAGTACGCGAGTTCATTGGAACCAATATTTTTACTCTCTTTGTCACACTCGCACATTTCGGATGATATTTTGATCAGAATCCAATCAAAGCGCGCGTGTGCCGCATTATNCCGCATTATTTTTCTTCCCATAGATCGTGTGTGACGTTATTCCCATCCTGTTTGTACTGGCACCATGGTTCACCGTATGCGAATGCCTAAGATACATGTATGCAGTTGATTGTTCGTGTATGTGTGTGTGTGGTGTCCGTGTCTGTTCCTACCCCGAAGGTGTGCATGAGCTCGAGTTTTGTGATCCAGAATGGAGTATAATGCGTTCGAGGTTTTGGTTTCGCAAGGCACGTGATACGATACGCGTCGTTATCGGTTAGACGGCAGATGTTAGAAGTTTGATAGTCCATCTTGAACAGAACTCATGCTCGTAAATATCTGGACCGTGTGAAAATTCCACAAAACTGTCCCTGCTGAAACACAGTCTAGATTATTTTTCTCACTGAACCATCAAGACACAATTGTTGAAATAGTTTGTTAAGATAGTGACGTGAATTGTGACCTTGAATGTCTCTCTCAGATTGGTCGAAGCGGACGAAGTCCGCCGTATTTTTGGATAGCTTCATTCTCATCCGGAATGTCCACTGCTGTATTTACATGAAGCCCCTCGTCATTGTAAATGTAGATGATTATAAAAGTAAGATTTAAATGAGTACTATCTTCCATCTTACAGAACTCCTTTCTTTTGCGTTTCGAGGCCGTAAAATAATTCCTTCATCCAAAGTTCTAGTCGATCCGGGTGTTCGAACACACGGCCTCATCATCAGTTACTTAGTTCACTAACGTTTAACCACTTCTTTTGTTTGGTATCACATTCGCCGTGTATCCCTCAGAGTCGTATAGTTAATCTTCTCATCTCATTGAAAAAATACAAATTAAGTTATTTATTTTCACAAGGTTTATGTTTTATTCTTAGCAATCCACTAGACTGCACTGTTTTGATTGGTTCACACCCTATTCACTGATAACGGTTTCGTGTAAATTATTCTTTCATTTCTGTATGCTCATCATCATCATGACCAATCGCGTCACAGAACGAAACTGTGACCGAATTTTGATCGTCTGTCAAATCTTTTGTAATAAGTTATCATATAATCCACTTATAAATACATCAGGTCTCTCAATGTAAATAGGTAGAACCCCTTCGCTATTGTAGCCTTTACAGAACCACATGCGCATTTATGTTCTTTTCATTTTTGGTTATCCAGCCTAATGAAAATCTGGCATGTAAACTGACTGCTACAGCACGTTCTCCACCAGCTAGCTCGGATAACTGAGTCCTCTGGTCGTGGTTTTTATACCCTTACTTGACCATCTTTCAATCGGGAGCAGGGCCATCAGTGTGTTCGCGTTTCGCTTATGAAGACGTTTTCAATATACGATGGTTTTGTGGTTAGCGTTATTTGCGTTTCGAAATCCAAAATGATTTGAACTGTACTGCTAGTTTAAATTAGACAATCCTTCCTTTGTCATTCACGGTGTATATGTATATGCTGATACTAAATGTTTCTATCTTACCAGGACATAACCCAACCAAGTAGCGGTGGTGGTATTGGCGCACCCGCCACATCAGATGCAACAAAAGAACTGGATGATCAAAATCCTTCTGCTCGTCCGCTGTTAACTGGTCAGGTTCAAACAAACAACAATGTATCTGCCGGTGGCGATAACCAACTGCCTACATCAGTATCAACTGCGTTGCATGAACATCGAATGTCCGTAGATGACAAACAGGCCAGTTTGAAACCATTAGGTCGGGGATCTGATGTTCAAATGCTGGAAGCTCTCAAAGATTTAGCTTGTGTGGAGGATGTGTTTGCTTTCCCTCCAATATCACGTTGTACTTTGAGCTTCTACTCGGACGTGGTTGAACTGTCGTATCGCAATTTGGGCTTGCGTCGTCCCAAAGGAATAGCAGCAAAACACCTCTCCTGGTCCACTCCTCGAATCGCACCGTTCATAAACGCAGTCGTCGAGACAACTGTGTTAATTCTGATTCTGATCACCTGTATCGTCGTATTCCCTGACTCTCGTCATGCCGCAAACAGTCCACTGTTCTATATCATCGCTGTGATCGCGTTGATTTTGCAGGTTCTTTTTCTCGGTCTATTGATTGCTGACATGGTTGCCTGGGCTCGAGATCAATCAGGGTCTCGTGGATCGTCAAAAACCGGCTGCAACTGGCGACGCTGTGCTATGCGTACATACATGGTATGCTTTCGTTGGCCTATGCGCAACTTTATCGGTGCACTACTTCTGTTTCTACCCACTGCGGTCGTTCTCGCGAACTTTACGGGAACATACTTCACCGGGGTGCAATCGTATAACCAGGTGTTCGTTGCATATTATCGTATCCTTATTGGATTAATGTTTGCCTTCATGCTGTTCAACTACACCTTGTTCACGACATTTTCCTCGTGGACGAAGACACTTTCAGCTTGTGTGGGTGGTGTAATCGCAATTGTTCTGCTCTTGCTTCCAGCCAGCATCTATGCCACCCTACGCACAACCTATGCAAAATATTGGCTCTTTGAGCCGGTCGTTCGCAAGTATACTCTGATGGATACTCCCCTTCCAGCTTGGGCGGCCCCCGTTATGGAAGATAGTTTCCCCTGGGAACTGTTAGTTGTATTGCTCGTGAATCTGGCCGTAATTGGCGCCTTGAATCGGGAGTGTGACATCAGTTTCCGTCTCAGTTTCCATCGGGACTATGAAGCACTTCAAGCTAAACAAGCTATCGCACACCAAAAGGTTCAAGCTGACTGGCTGTTGGAGAACATCATTCCTTATTATATAATGGACGATTTGCGTCAGCATAGCAAATATTCCAGACACATCGATGATGCCGCTGTGGTGTTCGCTTGTATTTCCAACTTCGCAGAGTTCTACGATGAGCAGTATCAAGGCGGTCAGGAAATGTTGCGCGTGCTGAACGAGATATTCGCCGATTTTGAACATCAGCTTGCATCAATACAATATAAAGATGTGGAAAAGATTAAAACAATTGGTTCGTGTTTTATGGCCGCCTCTGGTTTGAATATGACCGAGCGACGTCGAAACCGACGGCCTGATGCGCATTTGTTTGCGCTGATGGATTTCGCATTGGACCTGATTCACACATTAGACGATTTCAATCGACAAATGTTCAACTTCCAATTCGAAATGAAAGTTGGCTACAATATTGGTGAGGTCACTGCGGGTGTGATCGGTACGACCAAATTGTTGTATGATATCTGGGGTGATACGGTCAATGTGGCTAGTCGCATGTACTCCACCGGACAAAAGGGCCGCATTCAAGTGACCGAGGCGGTAGCCAAACGATTGGAATCGCGTTACGTGTTCGAGTATCGTGGTGAAGTGTTTGTCAAAGGCAAGGGTGAAATGAAAACCTATTTGCTATCACATCGACGTAACGATTGATCGGTACGCGTGATCCGTTTTTGTGATCGACTGTGATTCTGCAACCAAACCAATGCGGTTCACGTTTTTGTGGCTACCGTCGTCGTCTGAATCGATGATCGTGTCATGCCGTAGACCAGTGTTCTCTGGTCTCCACGAAATCGCACACTGCTTTTGTTCGTCCCATTTTCTCATTTGACCCTGCGTCACTCCTAACATTTCTAGCATGTAATTTTCTTGTACCTATAATGTGATCCGATGTTGTAAGTAGTTTCTCATCTTCATGTGCCATCCCTTCAAATTCTGTCCTCATACAATCGATCTACCTTTACACTTCGTTACTGCTGATCCGCGAGTTGTCTGTACATGCATACAGCTCGTGCTTTTATGTTGTATACGTACATAACTAGACCGGTATCTCTTTGTGCATCAACCTATGACGTGTAAATTGCAAAAGTACGTACGCCACTTTCTCTTCTTTTCAAAAGATTTCTTTCTTTTTTGACTTTTTCTGCAGTCTGCAGAGTACACGGTAACTAACTGTTCATCTGAAAACAACCAGCATAAAAGCAGTAAGAGACTGGTTTACGTATACGACGGAAACTAACATATTTGTATCGTTAGAATATGCTGCAATCGTTTCACTACAATTTTTTCGTCAAACTTCATTTTGTATTTGCCCCGGATGCTAATCCTTACATGTCATGTATTGCGCTCCTTCGGGAAATGCGGAATCTCACCGGCAAAGTCTATTGAGTACGGGTTATTCAGTCATCTTGTGTACTCTGCGCTTATCACGTCCCTCCCCACCGCGCTCTTCGAACTGAGCAAAGTACACAAATGGCCGTTCGAGCTAAGCAAATTGCTTTCCCTCTCACCCTGACCCCACGCCGTACCTTTGAGAATCGTGCATTTGCAGCGTGGTTTTGCTATCTCCCAAACGCTCACATTTGTTTTATCTTCACTAGTTGGCATTGTTTATCTTATTTTAGCGATCTATGAACGCCCGTATCCTGTTCCTCTATGCCCAACGGTCAATTGCACCTCCTTTTTTCCACTCACCCACTGCAGCCAACTGTTGTCAACACTCGCTATCCATATGAGCTTTGTTGTAATTTCGTTTCATTATTTTTTGTTTTCTTTTTCACGTATTTATCTGTCTGTCTATCTATCTGCCTGTCCTTGCTCTTACCCACCCGCTTATGATGTGCTGTGGCGTCATCACACCTGGTTCAGTTGAAATTTGATCAGATTAATTATTTAAATGCCAACAAATTTGGAGCTAACTACTGCACATTTTGACTTGGCAGTTATTGAGGCGAAAACACTCGACTTCATTCATTCAAATGAGGGAATAATTTTCTGTTCGAAATCTATAAGGGTTGATTCTTTCATTAGTAGCATACTGGTTCCCACTGATCTACGTTTGTATTTACTTGCTATACATTGATGCAATATAGGGCCAGGTGATTATCAATAAGACCCCGAGGCGCAAGGTTGATTCGTGACTGTTCTGTTGGATACCAGTTGGCTCCTGCGTGCTTAGACGTGCAGTCTGGAACGCTTATTCCAACCAATAGGCGATAGATGGACTTGCTTTCGCTGCTGTAGAATTTGTTATGGGAATGGTTGTTTTCTCAGCTAGGCTGTCATCCGTAAGTGAATGTTTAATTCCACATAGGTAGTCATTTCGAAAAACTAGTCGCACTTCAAGTTTCACTACTGCGAATACCATCATTAGTTAAAAGTTGAGTGTTTGTTTTGTGGCTTGATCCCAGCTTGTGTACAGAAAACTGTGGACCTCCTTCCAATCCGTGCACGCGTATGTGCATCTGCGCTCAGACTAGAACAGATAGTAGTAAGTTGTTCTTGGGATCGCCGATCAAGTCAATTTAAACAATATTAGACTGGTGGGAACACGGGGGTGATGATTTCAGAACGATACTTCTTCTTTCGCGCTCGAACTAAATGGGACGAGCTAGGAAGCACACGTATCTACAAACGCTGACGTAATGTCTTTTGAAATCATTTAGTGCCAAGTGGTTGGCCATTCTTGAGCGAGGGGACTTATTTTCAGAGAAGTTGTGCGTGTAATTAATTTACCAAAAGAGTTGGGCGTATTGGGACTGACTGAATCACGAAGAAGCCTCTGATGTAAAGTAAATGAGCCCGGATTGATTGTAAGGCCACGGCATGCTTAACCCGGTATAGCTGCAATTTCACAAACTTTAACGACCACACTGCTAATCTGAAAGTTGTCGCACCTGTGAGAATGCCGTCCAAAATTGACCCTGCGAAGACCACGGAGACGAACAGTGAGAGAAGCTGTTTGTGCGAATGTCTCTGTGCCCCCAAAACAGTAAAAGCTAATGCGAAATGATAACAGCATTGCGTGATAGACATGAGCAGTCGCTAAGGTCATAAATGATAAGACTGCATTGATACGAGTATCCCACAATGACCGTAGTTAAAATAACTCAGTTTAAGCTGGTATTGGCCAAGGCAAAGAAAACGGTCAAAATGGGTGTTTGGATGTTACTGACTGGTGTGCGAATAAGCAAACTTGCTACTTGTAAATCGAATACTGCCTAATTGATGTAAAACAAATTTTTAGTGAGTGGAGATACATAATTTTAGGAAAAGCCATGCGAAATTGTATATCGGAAAAAATTGGGAAGTTTAAAAAAATCATAAATTGACATTGCGCAGTTCCATGGCTGTGAAATTTTATCCTTTGTTCTGTCTAAGTTATCTGGGACCTGGGTGATGCCAGGAAAATTGATGTATTTGATATATGTATGTATCCTTAAGTTCGTACGTGATCTGTGTTTTGGAGCATGATTGAATTTTCCTTGTGCATCAATAACTTGAAGCTAAGGGCGCGGTGATGAACTGACAGCTTGAATGACCGTAACATTGAGGTTTACGATATTAATGTAACAGGACGCCTTCCGGTCACAACATCCATATTTTGTATACCCATTATCTGAGAGTTGGTCAGCAAAGTGAAATCCACACCTTTGACCTCGTTTCTGATGGGATGGGATATTCATCTTGCGGGTCACATGTGAGCGTTATTTGTTTGTTAACAAATCTAGTATGGGTTTTTATTCTTCCCCTTTTACACGAATAGAAAATGTCCAAGTTTCGGACGAGTGTGAGAGTAAAATGTTTTGTGGGAATTGTATCGACGTATTTTGTTAATTTTGAATGAATAGTGGGATGATAAGCTGCGAGTGTGACGGTATGTTTGCTTCAATTGTACAATAGTACAAATTTGATTCCAATTAAGGTCTGGAGAAGATGACCTGTTGAGTAATGAAGTTTGTAGGGCGATTGTGAAAAGCTCAGTAACCTCGGCTGGAATCGTACCCACGCATAGACGCCGTCTTGGCTTTGTACGCGCACGCTCTACTAGCTGAACTACTGTAGCGAGAAGGCAAGCTGGCTGAGAAAAACGTCTGTTGATCCAATCCCAAAAGCAAACAGTGTATCCGTTCGATTACATACAGTCAATTTTCAACCGCGCGGCGGGATGATTCATGCCTCTTTCTGTGGGTCATTTCTTGTTGGTTTTGGTACGTACGTTGCCTCTTCTTCTGCATGCCATTCCGACTGGTTTGACCCGATTGCGGCGAGAGATTCGTTGATCGACAGCTCTGACGTTGTGGCATTCGGTGTGTATCTTTCCCGTTAGCTGCGGATTGTAATTGTCGATTCGCTCGTTTCAGGTGGCAGTCAACATTGTCTCACTAGGCACTTTCCGCCGCTGCGTCTCGTCGGATGAGCCCCATTCTTGATTTGGTCGCTAACCAGGACTCTCTTTGTACTGCCTTCCATCACACTCGCCCCTCCTCTAAAATGATTGCCGCGGGTGTACCATCGCTCCAATTCTTTACCATTTACCCATCTTCCTCGAGGACCCTGATTGATCCGAAAAATGTCGTTCTTCCTCTCCAGAACGGTGGATGGCCCCATCCGCCGCTGGTTGAACTTTCCGGCCTCCGGTCCTGTTGTTTCGGGTCTGCCTTGGTTCTTAACTTTTACCAGCTGTCCCGGTACGAACGGCTGCCACTNTGTCGTACCTTGTCTTGTTGCGCTGTTGGGTTTGCCTGGTTTTCTCAATCGCTTCTCTCTCCAGCTTGTCTCGCTCCTTCGTGGAAAGCTGTTCGTCGGATCTTCCGAGTAACGCTTCAAGAGGCGTTCTGGGTTCTATACCGTATATGATTTCGAAGGGTGGTATCTCTGTTGCCGAATGAGATGTTCTGTATTTGAAAAGGATTTCCGGTAGGCTTCCTTCCCAATCACCGCGATGGTCATTAAGCCATTCCTTCATTGTTCTGTTGAACCTTTCAGTCATTCCGTTGGCCTGCGAATGACAGGGGGACGTTCTTGTTCGTTTGATACCCCAGCGTTCTAAGGTCTCCCGAAAAATCTTGGATTCGAAACGCTGTCCCTGGTCGGTAATGACATTTTCTGGGATACCGAATCGTGCAAGCAAATTGTCTATAAATATCCGAGCAACCGTTTGATCTGAGGTTGGTATCGCTTCCACCCAGCGAGATACGTGTTCAACCATCACGACAATGTACTTGTTCCCGCTTAGACTAATAAGCAGAGGTCCAAACACATCCAGTCCCCAGGTTTGAAGTACTCTCTGTGTGTCTATTGGTTGCATTGGCGGTGTTGATGGCGGCATGTATTTATTATGTTGGCACTCGGGGCAAGAACGGATGTATTTAATTACATCCCGGCACATCGTTGGCCAGAACATGCGACGTCGTAATGAGTCGAGAACTCGTTGCCGTCCCATGTGTGCTCCATTGTGTGCAAGCTTCAACACCCGTTCACGAAGGCCGGCTGGAATGAATGGCAGTCGCCTAGGTTTCAGTCCGCGTTCCATGTCCACTTCAACCACCAAGGTCTCATTGTTCAAATGCAGGCGATCCCAGATCTTCAATAATTCTCCTGTGACACAGATTGCACTGAAATGTTCACATTCGAATTACCCATCCAACTTA